TATTTCTTTCTCATTAATTGTTAAAAAAAAATTCACGAACTTTAATTCTTATTAAGTCGATTACACTTACACAGATCGTAATATTTATGCAGTTTGCTTAAAGCAAAATGCCACTTACACCTAGTTAAAACTCGACTTTTTTATATGCAGCACATAAATGATTTCAGTACTATCACGAATTATTTCAGTACTTTCATAACAATATAAATAATTATTTCGCAATATTTTGTACTGCGTTTGAGCTTATCAATGTCGCCCATAGATTAATTATATAGAAATCAACGCAATCAATCAGCTTCTATTTATACTTTTTATCAAAACAGTGGGCCGCCGTCAAAATGTAGTCATTGTGAATAATTGCTCCGCCGCAAATGTGTCTGCCTTCATATCTGATTGACACGTGGTGGGGAAATTCACCAGGCACTGCATTTAGTCCACCGATCATTTTCTCGCAGATTTCACCTGCCGGAAAAAAATGTTACAAATTATTGAAAGTTACATAATGGATTACATATACAATTGTGTGTATATGGAAATAAAATGTCGATCAAAATATAAAGCTTTTAGAAGTCATTCTTAAAAATTATAGCTTAAATAAATAATTAGATTCTGGTTATTCAAACTTCTTACTAACTTTTCCCAAATTTTCGCTAGAAAATCTGTCTTGTTTATTTAATGTTTTTCGACGTTACAAATCATTCTGAATCGTTTGGAACTAAAATTGGAAAAATATATATGTGTATATGTATATGTTTGTATATGTGCACATCACCATTTTCTCGAAAACAGCTGCACTGGTTTTAAAAATGTAATAGCCATTCGATAAAGCTCGATAAGGGCTCGCGTTGATTAGTTTTTCGCGACGAACATTCGAGCACTTTTTTAAGAATTAGCAGAAAAGTGCAAGTTTGTGAACTAAATTGAATAATTTAAACCCTTTCCACTCGGATGCCGCCGCTCCGACGGCAAGATTCATATAAATCTCGGATTTCGCGAATGGAAAGGGTTAAATACAGTTTAGAAGATACCAATTGGAGATCGTGCTGTTCAATTTTTTTCAAAGATTGTCAGCGCCGTTTCTGCGTAATTTTAATTTTTTTTTATCGTTTTTAAAGTTTGCACAGCGATAGTGTTTATGAAAAGTGAACTATGAAAGCAGTCGTATGAAAAGTGGTTCAATTATAAAAAATCATTAAAGTTTGGAATAAGGAGGCGACCATTAATCACGTGAGATTTAAGGGGGAGGAGGGGTTTGACAAAAAATTACGAAATATTACTTTGGGTTTAGTAAGATATCATGTCTATTACCTCAATTCAAGAAAAATCTGAATTTTTTCAAAAAAAAAAAAAAATTCAAAAGTGTTACAATTGTTCTAGGTACTAAAAATAGACGTAATATATGTGGGAGAAGGGAATAATTTTAAATATTACTATGTATCACCACGGGGAGGGGGAGTTCAAAAATCCTTAAAAATTGCTCACGTGAGTTGCGCATTTAGTACATACAAATGTATGTTTGTGCACTATAATTAATATGATTACATATATTAAAATTGTGTTTGAAAGATGACATTTGGAAATTGCACTGATTAGATTTTAGTGCAAGCATAAACTTTTCTACATAAACAGTTGAAAATTTTATCACAATTCACAATTTTCCTAAGTCGATTTTTAACCCATATCGGGAAGTTCACGCATCTTGCTTCAAAGGCACTTATATTGAATTTTCTAAAACATTTGAACCTACACAATGATACACTGAATTAATTGTAAATAAATTGTTTTGATATATTTGGACATAATTTCACTTTAGTAGATAAGATTAGACAATTATTCATCAGCCATTTATTTGGAAAATTAAAATTATCAAATGCTACTGGACACTACTACCACTACGACTTATTATTTTATATACATATACTAACATTTTATTATTGACCACCAGCTTACAATACACAGTAAATTAAAAATATTATTAAAATAAAATATTGAAAACATTTATAATATTGAAATGAAATTAAACTACTGTTACAGTAGTATCAAAACAGTAGAATGAATTAAAAAATCATTTGCACTTTGTATTTTTAATATTGTTTGTTTTTTTGATAACCCAACCAAACTGTCTTTCTTTAGTAATTGATAATACATGAATTGTAAATAATTTTTTATGATACATTTGTACATTTCACTTACATTGTTTGAGAATATTCACCAGTGGAAATATATAATTAATTTTTGTTAAGTAATAAAAGTATTAAAATAAATCTAAATACTACCCTTGGGAATCATTATTTCATATTTATGCACTAAAATTTTAATACAGTAAGTCAATTGAGAGTAAATTAAATATATCATTGAAGTAAAAAATTTAGGACATTATGATGAAATTATATTCTTGCCGAAAAATAAAATTTATATTTATGTGTAGTATTGAATAATGACTTTAAAAATGATTTATTGGCACTTTGTTTTTTTTTAATATTATTTTTTTAAATAATTTAATCAAACTCTACTTATAAGACACTAATTATTTTGATCATCTCTATCATTTCACTCACATTGTTCGAGAACGTTTATCGATCATAGTTTATATGTGATTAAAACTTTTTAACATATTAAAAATATCGTTAAAATAATATGTTAAAAATATGTTAAGATAGTTTATCAGTAAAAAAACCAAACAAAGCTATACAACTTTTTGCTCTAGATCTTGCAATTAGAAATTATTCACAATAGGTACTTTAGTTTAATAATATCTATTGATTATATTTAAGTACTTACAGTTTCCGATTGCAATTATTATCAGAAAAACTATTTGAACAAACATAATATTAACCACATTTGTAACTTAAAATAAAAAAAGAGTGCAACACATGCGTTCTCAATGAGATTCACTGTCCAACTGATACTTATAAGAAATTCGCCTGCAATTTACCTGTCTATCAGCCGCATCCAATCTATTGTAATGAGTAATAATATGATTTTTATCTCTTTCTTTCTGTAATCTTGCATATTTCTCTTATTAATTTTTTCTTATTAATATTATTAGTGATTCAAATACATATTATCTTATCAATATCTGCATAATTTAATGCGTTTTTCGAGTACTGGAAGTGATTGTACGAGGTATTTCAATACAGAAATGAGACTATTCATAACCTAGTATAATAATAAGTTTTTCTTAGGAACCACTTTGGCATATTTTTAATGATATCTTGGCCAAATTTTGAGGTAGAAAAAACTGAAAATTGGTATATAGAATTTCTTTGAGAAGATATTCAAAAAGGCGTATAAGTCATTTATTATACACATTAAGGTGAAACTAATTGTTGACAACAAGATAAAGCAACAAAATTGTTAAATTGATATATTGCATAAAGCAATTTCCAACTAGTAGTGCATGGCATCGTGCCTTAAGGCAAATTGCTGGAACTTCCCGTACCGTAATGAAATAGTCGAAAAATTTTAAATGTTTTCAAATAGGTCATTATATATACTATAACCTTTATTATTCGTATTTTATGGACAAGATATAAGAGCTTATACATCGTACGACGAAACTAAAATCACCTAAAAATAAAAAAAATAAAACATTGGAGTTAGAATTAAAGGACCTTATTTTATTTGTCTACGAATTATATATACTGAATTGCAAAGGTAAAGTTATTTATTTCAAGTAAAGAAGTGAGTTTCAGTTTTTAGCTATAATTATAATTAAAATCCAAAATTAAAAAAAATATTTAAAAATGTTTTTTTTGAAATTTTGACACTTTTTCTTTTGCTTTTCCAAAAAACTAATAGTTTTTTCCATATTCACAATACAAGCAAAGTCTTTTTTGTATCATTCGAATCGGACGCTGCATTTTTTCAAAAACCGAAATATTAGCACTTTTTGCTCCGTTTCTCCGAAACGGCTGGACCTGTGTTTGCCAAAACTAACCAGCACATCTCCACGTCAATATGAATCGAATGTTTTTTGAATCATTTAAATCGGTCGATCCATTCTCTTAAAAACTGACATTTTTAGCACTTTTTGCTTCATATCTCTGAAGCCGCTGGATCTGTCTTCGTCAAAAACTAATCAGCACATCTCCTCATCAATAGGAATCAAATCGGTTAATCCGTACGCCCGAAATCGTCGACGAAAAATTATATCCACACATACACACACATACACACACATACACGCACACAAACACTCACACACACACAAATCCATTTTCTCTGAGGTATGCCAAAAGGTTCAGAAACCTCTAAAACGTAAATATATGCAAAACAATTCATTTTCGATTTTTGGACGATTACTATAACTTATATCTTGTATTTATCTAATGGCTTTTCTGCATTTTAATTGATTCTAAATTAATTGAAATATTATGTATTTACTTAATGGCTTTTCTGCATCTTAATTGATTCTAAATTAATGAAACATTGCAAAGGCAACCCTTGATTCAACACATTTGATTTAAGAACTGAAAAAACTCTTTGTAAACTATAACTACCCTCGATAAACTATGAGGCCAATTCTAACGCAAAATAGATCAATTTACGTAAAGGCTATGTTACATTGATACTTCTCATACATAATGGTTCCAGATACTGTCAAAATGTTATGAATTTGCTGTGCGATCAGGCGTTTTACACGTAAAATGCAACTTCAGTCGTACGTTATCAAGCCACATCACAAAGATGCACTTATGATTAGATTTTTTTTGACATTTGTTTTTTAGAATAGGTTTTTTATCTGAAACTTCTGAGTGCGCAGCAACCACATAAGATTTTTGCAGTATTTAGTACCATTTTGTATGTGAAGCGCTGCGTCAGTCACATAGCCTCTTCGTAAATTGATCTATTTTGAGGCAAAATTAGTCCCTAAATATAACTAGACTGAACTACAAGTCTTTTTTCACAATGTTGTTATACAACAAAATCAAGTTTTAATAGCAGAAAATTTATTTATTTAAAATATTTATCTATTTATAACAATTTACAAATCTATTTCATGAGTTATATATTTATTGCAAAACATGGTCGGTATTTTCGTGAATCCAGTCCAAGTAGTAATATACACGAACGTAGACATCTGGCACACCCAAAGCACAGTATTCATAAACCCAGGAAACTATACCGACTTGTTCCAAACCATTTGCACTTTCGTATACCAATGGACCACCAGAATCACCCTGAAATGATAAAAAATAGAAATTTATCAATTAACACAATTACGATTTCATCAACCTAATTAATTGGACAATGCTGCCGCATAACAGACCAATGTTATAGCAAGGCCATGTTACGCTCCAACTTCCATACATTCTGCTACCGAATCATACTGAATACTGTCAAAATGTCATGTATTTGCTGTGCATCCAGGCGTTTTACACATAAACTGCAACGTCACCTGTATGTTATGAAGCTGGGTCAGAAAGAACCTGATATCTAAGATCGTTTCTTTGACATTTGTGCGGTTTCTAGGTTAGGTTTTCTATCTGACAAACTGAGAAAAATGCCTGATTGCACAGCAACCACATGGATTTTGTCAATATTTAGAACCAGGCAGTATGGAAAGTTCTTTATAACATAGCCTTGCCATAACATTGGTCTGTTGTGCGGCAAAATCGGTCCATAAATGATATTGGTTTATAACCGTATAAAATAATCAAAGTGAAATCAGACAGATGCGATTTTTCTTTCAGGCGTATTTACTTTACTCTATATTTGTTACCATAATTGTTCTACAATGTCGATTAATAATAGATTCTAAATTTTTTTTACATATTTGAAAAATTGTGTATTAGTCTGATGAGTTGATTAAATGATCACCTTAGATTTGATCTTACTTTTACAATTTATAACAATTAAAAAGAAGTATGTTTGTCGTATGGCTGATTTATCAGGCTGGATTTCATTTTACTTTCAGTATAATTATGATTTAAATTACATTTTTCCTTAATACAAACTAGAAATTTATTGTTTATTAAGAAATGATGAAATTGACTTCATATTTTTTTATGAAATTATTCTAATTTTGCAATTGTTTTTCAAATAATAACTATCATTTATCTTACCCTGCAAGCACCGACATTAAGTTTGTTGAATCCGCACAACATTCCTGGGTAGATTGTGTTAGATTTAGGTCCAGCATTATGGAATTTTTGGCAATCAGCATTATTGTAGGTCAGAACGTCCATTTTTTGTAAATGATTTGGTAAAACATCACTTGGATACTGCAGTCAATAAAAATCAATATTATAATCGTGAGAAAAATATTATTACATATGATAATTTGCCAAAAAATATAGAATTTTTGGTGTAATAGCAAAATGTCCTGATCAAGTTGTTTGGGATTTTGGATATTTATTTAAAATCGTAATCAGAATTATAAATTAATATGAAGAATATTTGTTGTAAACTGTGTCTCCCTTTCTTTAAATTTTATTACTAAGTAATTTACAAGTTTTTTTAAAGTAGCAACTTGCAAATAAATGCAATTGAGTATGTTTTACGAGAAATATTTGTACTTTGAAAATGAGAATACGACTAAGAACAATAAACTAGTAGAGTAAGCTTCTATATAAAAAATTAACAATAGATGTGAAAAGTAATTGGGCATGGCATCGTCCTTTAAGGCAAATTGCTGGAATTTTTCTTAGCGTTATGAAATATTCTAGGAATTTTCAAATAGATTATCATAAATACTGTAACTTTTATCATTCGTATTTTATAAACAAAATATAAGAGCTTATTGAAAAGTTTATAAACAAATCTCAATCAAGCGGAGTTAGAATGATAAATTTTTTCTCTCTAGGAATTATATAAAGTAAAATGTGAAGTTAAAATTATTTATTTCAAGAATATAGTTCAGCTTTAGAATTTTAACTAGAATTAAAATTAAAATTCGAATCATTTTCGATATTTAAAATATTTTTTTTTTTAATTTTGAAAAAAAAGTTTGGCCTTTTCCAAAAACTAATAATTTTTTCACACTTACGACAAGCAAATCATTCGAATCGGATGCTCCTTTTTTGCAATATCTGTAATTTTTCGTTTTTTTTTGCTCTGTAAACAAAACCAGCATGTCTCCATATCAATAGGAATCGAATGTTTTTTGAAGCTTTTAAATTGGTTGAGCAGTGCTCCATGAAACTTCAACAAAAAAATTCATATATACACATTTTTTCTAAGGTATGCCAAAATGTTCAGAAACCTCTAAAACGCAATGATATGCAAAAATTTTCATTTTTGATTTTTGGTGGATTGCTATAACTTGCCCTTCTCGAATAGTTCTGTATTTACCATGATTGTAAGGGGTATGTTTTTCAAAGTTTTTTTTGGAAAGTTATCAACCAAGAGGTTTTAAGTTAGTTGATCAGAATGGCACGCTAAGCTTTCTTTAGGTCTGATTACTTTTAAAAATTAATATTGTTTTTTTTTTTTCAAAAAAAACTTACTGCGTCTAATCCCCAGCCAGAGAATTTGCATTTGAGATCCCCAGGTGTATCCTTTGAGGCCAAGGCGACTGGTTTCTGGTTAGCATTAAAAGTCAATGGCTTTTTCAACTAAAATAGAGAAAACAAGGTTTTATTTTTGTACTTCAAAATAACATTTTGAATATCAATATTATTGGTCTTAACACAAAGACAACACTCAAATATCCTTATAATAGTCAGGGCTTGATTCTGTAGTACAACAGACCAATGTTATGGCAAGGCTATGTTATGTAGAACTTTTCTTACAAAATCGTTCTAAATATTATCAAAAGCCATTTGGTTGCTGTGCAGTCAGGTGTTTTTCTCAGGTTGACAGATAAAAAACCTAACTTAGAAACCGCACAAATGCCAAAAAAACGATCTTAGATAACAAGGACCTTCTGACCCAGCTTCATAACATACAAGTGACGTTGCAGTTTATGTGTAAAACGCCTGAATGCACAGCAAATACATGATATGTTGACAGTATTTAGGTAATAATTCGGTAGCATAATGAATGCAAGTCGAAGCGTAACATGGCCTTGCCATAACATTGGTCTGTTATTCGGCAGAATCGGTCCCTCAATCTCAATCTCCAAAGGAATTTCTTTTGTAAAATTCATTTTTGTTCATTACTTTTACATATAGGTTAAAACATACCATTTCCAAATAATTTTTTTAACAGTTTTATTATACTGTACCTTCAAAACTGCCACATCATTATCCAAAGTGTTTGGGCTGTACTTTTCGTGATATTTGATGGAAGCAACAGCATGATGTTCTCCACCTTCAGTTAAGTAAAGTGCGCCTGACACAACGGTGAACAGTGATGGAGTTGCTCTGAGATAAATATAAATATAGTTATCAATAATATAATAAATGTAATAATTAATAGTAATAATTAGTAGAGCAGTAAAAAAGTGGATCTAGTAAATTAATCAGCTACGTAGAAAAATTTCAACCACTAATAAACGTGCAATAACAAACAAAGTTGATAGGAAACATCCGATTTTTTAAAGAAGTTAATTTTGCAAATAATTCAATTCTTGTCTAATATATTCCACTTTGCCTTTCCTATAGACAAAAGTGCTTTATTATGTTTCTCAATTTCTGGATTTGGCATTGCTGATAAATTAGATTAAATTGGATTTGGAATTACCAATTTAATATTCACATATCATTTCAATTTTCATCATACCTGCCATATACGCAATGAGCTGCAGTCAGAATGTACGATTCATGAATGATAGAACCACCACAAGTGTGTTTTCCATTGAATCTTAAGGAAATCTGGTGAGGAAATTCACCAAGTTTGGCATCATCACCACCGATGATACGACTCTCCAGAGAAGCCCCTAAATGAATGAAATATATATATTAGAGTGGTCCTTAACACGGACATTTCTTTGCTGCCAAGGTCGCCAATGCTTCCAAATTTTAAAAAAATGAATCTCTAATAATTTTTGCTCTTAATATTAACATTTAGGTAGAGCGCATTCCAATTAAAAGTTTCTTATATTTGTTATTAACGTATGTCATTAAGTGAATTCTTGCGCCATCTGTGATAGTATTCGTGAAATCAAATATTACGACACTTAATGAAAACACTTGTAGCACTTGTAATTTTGATGGCAATTTATTACTGATAATTTGAGTTTCAACATCACCAATTAGATAAATATTTTCCTGCAAAATTAATCTTGATGACCAGATATATATCCAAACCCAAACAACTATCGAACTATATTTAGTAAAATTCCCAGTTATTTCCTATTATATTAGGAATTAACTATATCAGAAATGTGGTTTTTACAATTTTTCTAAAAATTTATCATTTTTCATGGAGCCAATGTCTTTTTTTTAATTTCAAAGAGATATTACGAAATAAAAACTACATTATCCAACTAATGCAAAAAATAAATTTTAATGACACGTTTTTACAAAGAACACACTGTATATAACCTTGATCTGGTATATTAATGTAAATATTCATATGCAAATTGAGTACATCTCGATCCTGTTTTTTTGGGTCATTTCAAGAAACTTTGCTGAAGGAAAAATTTACAATGCAGTTTTTTCTTCAATTTCAATAATATATTTTACAGAAAAAATCTTGGCAAATATCTATTTCTGCCATTTTTTTTACAAAAATTGTTACCACCAAGGTAGCTCGTAGTGTTTTAGAATTCCCTGTGAATTTCTTTGTACTTTTCTTGAATATTCAAGTTTTTCATGAAAATCCTTTAATGAAAGTTTCGCTGGCTCGAAATTTACTTTGGAGCTACTGTTTCTTTGGCGAATTTATTTGAAATTACTGATAAAACGAAAATTGAAAAATGCCTCAATATCAAAATAGTTTGATCCAACCTAATTTTTGATCCCATGTGCAATAATATATTTAATATATAGTTATCAGCGAAAATTAATGAAGGCAATCAACTACTAGGAATTTAACGAATATTACTTTTGTACTCTATTAAATTCACTTTGTATATGTATTAAAAAAAAGTCTAATTTTAAACTGTATCGATCTTGATATATTTTATTAAACTGAACGAATTGAAAATGCAAAAAATCAGAAATTATTGTTCACATTACAAGTTTATAAATTTCATTATATAAATAGATATTTCGGACCAAATAGTAAAATTATAATTATCTTTGAAAAATTGAATTTAATTGGTGACCCTTATTTACTATAACTACAAATAATTATTTTGTTCATATAAAGTATGAGTAAAATTTGTTACTTCAATTTTCCACATTCTTGTAATGTAATCAATAACTGAATTTCTATCCTTTTATCAATTTAATTCGAATAATTTTTAAGTCAACAAAACTTACCTGAGACAAGGCACAATACAGAAACGATAACTGCCAAACGCAACATCTTGACACAGTGATGAAAATATTTCTATATCTTTGAGTTTTATACCATATTTATCTGATACAGAATTTTTTGGTGTTCCATTTTTTAATCCGTTAATCTTTCCAATAATTAATGATAACAAAAGTGATAAGATTTGATTTAATAAAGATTCGTATCAAGCGGACTTTCCAAGTCCGAACTGAATTTTTATTGGAGTTTATTTGTTTATAAATTGTTTATTTGTAAATAAAATTGCGAAGAATTCAAGAATGACATTTTTAATTTAATGGGGGTACTTCTAAATATTTCACTTAATACTATTTTCTTTCGAATCCTGGTGCAGTTGAAATTCTTTTTCTTGAAATTCGCAAATAAAAGGATTTATTAATGTTGGGTCTTTGGGACCTCATTAAATGCAACACCAATGCAAAGGGTAAAGTTTCATACACATAAATTTTTGAACGCTTTCTGAAAAATAAAAATACACAATAATCCATTAAAATACTTTGCCATAAATTTTAAATATTTTTTTACATTGAGCATATGATTATTCTTTCATTTAATTTGAAACTTCAAATATAATTTATGTCTATAGTAAACAGATGATCGAAATATTGGCATTTGTAAACCCTGAAACTTCAAATACTTTTTAGTATAGGAATAGTATTTTACTAAAATTACAAACACATTTAAAATAGAATAAATCAGAGAAATACTAACAATCGATGTATATAATCTTATCAATGACACGTGTCGAATATTGCTTCAACAAAATACAAGATTTTGCATAATCATTACCTTAATAAAAATGTGTATTTGATAACATCTTGTTAGATTTTTTTAAATCGTTTTAAATTATTGATCTATAATAACTTTATCAACAAATTTTAATAACTATTTAACTATTTCGATATCTCTATAAATATATTTCTATATTTTTACTCGAGAATTCCAAAATTAACACTATTTTGTCGTCGGACCGGAGCCGAGTGGAAAGGGTTAAATATATTTTATCACTTATTTTGCCTATATGATTTTTTTAGAGAGCATTACAGACAAATAGTGAATATGTAGTTAATATATATACAGGGTGTCCCAGAACTCAACGTTAAGCCAATCATAACTATCATGAAAAAAATGGACAAAAAAAAATTCCATATAGATTGAAAATTATGAGCTTTTAAGTGCAACCCAAAGCTTTGGTCAGTTTTGATCCTTTTTTTGGTTATTCCGAATGATTTTCAAAAATTTTATTTGTTTAAGCTTTGAATCACATTGAAAAATAGTGACTTATTGTAAAAATAGCGTCTTTTGAAAACTGGTTGACTTTGATAAATACTCCTTAAAAAAAGTGCACTAAAGTTTGTTGACAAGTTCTATCAAAATGGTAAAGTACTTGATAATAGTTTTATAAAAGATTCTGGTTTTGTTTTTACTAATATTCAATTAAAAATTTGCAAATCATAATGTTATCACTAAAAATGTTTCTTATTTTTTAATATAAGAAATCCAAACATAATATTCACATATCATTCTATTAGTAATAAAACAAATTGTATATTTTTTGCATTTATTTAACGTAATACTGAATTTAATGGTTTTAACTTAAATATACTTGTAAATATCACATATGTTGATTGACTTATGTCATCACTTCATCTATAACATAAATTAGTAGGAATAGTTTTATAGAATATTTTATCATAGAATTACAAAAATAAGTTTGGTAGTGATTAAAATCAACTTGTCAGTTTGTCATACAAAGGAACAGCATTCTATGCTTTATCTATCTATCTATGGTTTTTATTCACATTGCAGTTAACTGAATCTTATAAATATGTCAATATGATAAATTTTGCTATTTTTTCAATTAATTTATTCTGAGTTGTTCAATAGAACATTATCAGTATGTTGATGGATCCAATCCAAATAATAGTATACTCGGGCATATACATCTGGTACTCCCAAAGCACAATATTGCCAAGCCCATGATACAACTCCTACTTGAACCAATTTTCCATTTTCTTCGGCAACAAGAGGACCACCAGAATCACCCTGAAAATAATAATTAATTATTATTTTTAATTGTTTTTGTTTTCTTCAAATATTTTGCTAAAATTAATTCATTTTATAAAGCAAATTAATTCGAAACTAAAATACTGACCAGTTTCGAAAGTTCTATTAAAATTTATTATTAATAAAATAATAATTACCCTGCATGCTCCGATGTTGAGCTTATGATAAGCGCACAGCATTCCTGGTTTGATAATATCACCTGAAGCTTTTGGCTTTAGTGGCCCATTTTCATGAAATTTTTCACAAATGCTGTTTTCGTATGTAATAGCCATCATTTTCTTCAGAATATCCGGAATCTCGCCATCAGGGTACTAGAATTATTACATACGATTTTTTAAAACACTCATGTGGAGATATTGTCGAAAATAAAGATATTTCGTGGAATATTACATTTTTTCAGAAATTATGGTAAATTTTGTTATTATATTTTTATTTATAATCCAGAACTTTACTTCGACTTATTAACTATATTTTTATTCAAAATAATAGTTTATTGTTATTATTTAACTATCATATATTTATTGGTCAAGTCGTCAGTTTTCACTATTTTGTTGCAAGGCTATAACAAAAAAGTTTGGCAAAAGTTTAAATACTCATGTTAAATCCTTATTTAAAAATACCGATTAAATTTAATATGAAGTATTTTATTAATGTTTATTTTCCGCCGATAATTGTTGAATGCTTATTGCTTATTTTCAAAAAAAAAAACAGTTAACACTGCGACTTAAGACATTTTTTTGCCTTGCAAAAAAGTGAAAATTTACTTAACCTACTTATTGACTGGGATACCAGAATAAGGGACCGATTTTGTCGCATAACAGACCAATGTTATGGCAAGGCTCTGTTATGAAGAGCTTTCCATACAAATTCATTCTAAATATTGACAAATGCCATGCGGCTACTGTGCAGTCAGGCGATTTTCTCAGGTCAGATAGAAAACATAATTTACAAAACCGCACAAATGTCAAAAAAACAATGTTAGATAATAGGGTCTTTCTGACCCAGCTTTATAACATACGAGTGACATTGCAGTTTATGTGCAAAACGCCTGAATGCACAGCAAATACATGACATTATGACAGTATTCAGTATGATTTAGTAGAATAATGTATGGAAGTTGGAGCGTAACATGGCCTTGCCATAACATTGGTCTGTTGTGTAGCAGAATTGGTCCTTAAGTCAAACAATGATAGTGAAGCAATATTTTCAATTTTAATATTTTTATAAAAAAAAGTAATTACCGCAGTTAATCCCCAGCCAGATAGTTGCACAGTTTCTCCTCCGATGGTGTCTTCCTTAGGGAGTGCTATTGTTTTTTTGTTGTTATCGAAAGTAATTGGTGTTTTCAGCTGAAAGATAAATATTAACATAGTTGAATTTACAAATATTCTAAATTGTTTAACAAAACAAGGTGTATGGAAATCGATTATCTTCATTTTGTGTCAATAGGGCTTCTATGGGAGAGGAATAATGATTTTACCTTCAAAATGGCAAAAAATCATTGTACAAAACATATTTTACCCAAATTGGAGCATTTCAACTATGGAAATTAAAGCTTCCAATTTCATGCAAAAATAATGGATTTCTTTTTACTTCACCTTATAACCCTTTCCACTCGGATGCTGCCGCTGCAGCGACAAAATAGTATTAGTTTTGCAATTCACGAGTGGGAAGGATTAAAAGAAAAGAATATGAAAATAAAGTTAGGAGATAATATGAGATAATTGGATATAATATAAATTAACTTTTTGAAAACTGGATGTTGACGTAGTTCAATTTGACTATATGTATTTGATTTAATGAGCTGCTTGAACTTCTAGTCGTCAATTATTTTGTAATTAATTAAAGGCGAAGCAAATGGCTAAATTTAGTTGTCATCAATCAAATCTACATCTACGATGTGATGTATTTTATGTTTACAAAAATTACCTTGATTACTGCAATATCGTTGTGCATTGTCTCTGGACTATATTTGTCATGATAAGTAATCTTGTCTACTTGATGTACTTCACCTCCTTTCGTAAGCGATACCGAACCAGCAACAACGGTAAATTTAGTGACATCATCATCCCTGAAAAAAAAATTATAAATGATAACACAATATAAAGGAATTTTTTGTGTGTTGAGTTTTCTGGTACAATTTTATTTTTCTTACCTTCCTTCAACGCAATGTGCAGCCGTCAAAATATACAATGAATGCAAAATTGAGCCTCCACATGTGTGTCTGCTTTGGAATCTCAATGAGATCTGGTGAGGATATTCTCCATCTTTTGCATCTTCTCCACCGATGATACGATTTTCTAATGAAGCCCCTAGAAAAAATACAAATTATTAAAATATAATTATAGAATCAACACGATTTCTTCAAAACTGATGACCCTAAACTCCGCAACTAATGTCGAGGAGTGTTAGTTTAGTGATGTGATGTTAATGCTTACCAAAACTGAGAGCCACCAAACAACTGAACACTACTAACTTATACATTTTCTTTTAATTTCTTCTATTTCTATTTTAACTATGAGATGGAAAACTTCAATTGCTCTCTACTTATAAGAAAATTTTCGATCTTTATCAATAAATTATAGTTGATAAGCGTTTGGCAATTCTGAGGGTTTTTTCGCATCATGCGAGATAAGAAATCGCGTGCCTCCTTCGTAATCATTTTAATCGAATCAAAAATTAAAAATATAATCGATAATCAGGTATCTCTTGGGAAAATCCGTTAATCTTTGATTAGAATATGTTTTATGATGGATATTAATAGAATTATCATTTGAAATTCGATGAATTTAAATAATTTTATGAAATTTGTTCTAGAGAATTTGGATGATCGTGTTTATTCACAGAACATGTCACATGCTACCAAATTATATTATAGTAATATATAAAAATATAATATACGTAATTATATAATTTTTTTCACTAAACTTTATATATAATATTTTGTTTTTTTATAATGTTTCTTATTGCTACTTGAATAATACATAAGATTTTTGAGTCTATATATATATATATATATATATATATATATATACTAGCTGGCCCGACAGACGTCCTGTACACACGTTCACAATTCAAAAATTCGTTTTTTTTAATATCATATTATAATATGAACCGTTTTGATGAAAGTCATTATTATTATTTTTTGCAATATTTATTGGCATTCTATACCGAGTATATTAGGGTGGTCCTTAATGTGGACATTTTCGAATTTCCTTGCTCCCAAGGGCTCAAATGGTTCCAAATTGATAAAAAACAATTCTCTGAAAGTATTAGCTCTTAGTATTGTCTTTTAGATAGAGCGCAATTCAATCAAAGTTTTGTATGGAAATAGCATGAACAAATTTTCAAAAATTTTGCAGAGCGCCGAATTTTCAATAAAAAATGACACTAATTTTCGCTTTTAATTCATTTATCGCTAAGTCATACCTACATTTTTTTTTAATTTTCAAAATTTTTTTCATGCTATTTCCATACGAAGTTTGATTGAATTGCGCACTATCTAAAAGTTAATATTAAGAGCTAAAACTTTCAGAGAACTGTTTTTTATCAATTTGGAACCATTCGAGCACTTGGGAGCAAGGAAATTCGAAAATGTCCACATTAAGGACCACCCTAGTGTATATATGTATAAACATCAATGTAAGTGATTAAACGTAAGAACTGCCTTAATAAAATGACTCAGTTTCCCACATTCAACTCAATTTAAATGTATCTCATTTCCTATAACAGCTCTGTATTTGTTTGATTTTAATTATTTGCATTTCAAGAAGTCATGATATTTTTAATGTTCTAACCACTGAAGTGACATCAACATAATGAAAAATGGTTTTTCCAAATTTTTTCCCTAAATGATCATTTTTTGTCCTGATCACTAATTTGTAGTCATTGCATAAGCCAAACTTTCTGGGAATGTGGACGTTTAAATGGTATAACTGAATCAAAAGTATTTATTTATATATCTATCAGTTTATCACTTCGTATTTTATATTGGTAATAATTAACTCTTTCCACTCGCGAATTCCGGAATTCATATGTATAAATATATAATTTATATATATAAATGAATAAAATTTCTTTGATATTACAATTTAGTTTATTTTGTTTATGCATATTATTTTATGAGATATATTTATAATAAATATTTTATTCAGAATTGTTCAATAAAACATTATCCGTGTTTTTGTGAATCCAATCCAAGAAGTGATATACTCTTGCATAGACATCTGGTACTCCTGTGCCACATGGAATACCAAAAGACACCACTCCGACAACAACTGGTCCATCAGGTTCTCGAACGATCAGAGGACCACCGGAATCACCCTAAAAAATTGAAATTTAACTAACCAATTTATCTATAAAATATGATATTCGTCCAACTCAAATTATTCTGCAAACAAATCATTGCATTAACTCATATCATTTGTAGTTTATCAATAACAATTCATTTACCATGCATACACCGATGCCCAGTTTCCGGAAAGCACACAGCATTGTTTCAGTTATATCATTTTGTCTAGAAGTTTTATTTTTGATTGGTCCTTGATTGAGAAATTTTTGGCAAATGCGACTTTCGTATGAGATACCCATCATTTTTTGTAAATGATCTGGTATTTGACCAAATGGAGTCTGTCAATAGAAACAAAAAATAAACTACGTTAATTTTGGGGATACTTTTCAATTAACCAAATTGAATACTATTAGGTTTTCTTTATTTTTCAAGATTTCAAAATTATATTTGCAATTTACTCACAGTTTGGCCCCAACCAGAAACTTCAACAGTCTCTCCGCCCATGGTGTCTTCTTTTGGAAGAGCTATAGGTTGCTTTGTTTCATCAAATGTTATGGGAGTTTTCAACTAAAATTTAAACCAAAGAAAAAAATAATAAGTTACTAACTAGTTGGTATTGGTATTTTGCCTTGAGGCAAGTTACATGAACTTCCCGATACGTGTAAATAATCAATAAAATAAAAAGTAATTTATTAGTGATTAAAAGTATTCCGGGTGGATTTATTACACATATTTCAAAACGAACGAACACGTTAACTCGGAGTATTTTCTAAAAGCAAATTTTCACAAATCAATGATTTTTATAATTGAACCAGTTTCCGTAGGCCTGGTGCAATGGAATGGTTTAGTATGTTTATTAAGACCAAGTACTCCATCGTTATGCCAGGTAAATCGTCTAATTTTAATTTGAACAAACGTCAAAAAGCTACTCCTATTCTCAAACTTTGTTCAATTTTTAAAATTAAACTACTTGTCGTAAGGCCGCAATATTTCAGTAAGTTCTATAAGACCATGATATATATCTGAAATGATGATATATATTTGAAACTGTTTTTGAAGCAAGATCCTATACTGTTAACTCTCACTTGTTCTGCAAATTGAGCACAAGCTTTACACAATTGTATTTAACAATTATTTATTCGAATTTAACAAAAACATCTATAAAACGTTTTTACTAAAGCGGTACAAGTAGCTATTAAGCTTAATCTTTGAAGTGTGAAATTAAATCTTCTAGTAATATAAATAAAATTAAGTAAGAAAACAATTCAGAATCATATTAATACCTTTAAGCTTACAGCTTAACCCAAAATATTAATAGAAGCTTTACAACTCACTTTTTTATTTACATTTTTAATTGCTTTAAAAGATTTTAAAGGTTTGCTTAATTAACTCATTAATTCTATTTAACATTACCAAATGATATAATATATAATTATCATAAAATATATACGGGGTACGACTTGAGCAACCAAATAGGATTTATATGAATGTTGGATCGTTCTTTAAAAATTCGAGTTCCGTATAAAATAGTCATAATCGAGCGAATTACTGAATAATAGCGAAAATCAATCAATTATTTTATGAACTTATTATTCAATCCTAAAAGATATTATATCATTATGTGTTTTCTTTAAAATTAGATTGAAGAATGTTCACTAGAGTAAATGGAAACTCTACTTCTATTGTATTAGAAATTTCAGAATGGAATTATCAAAAATTTAGCGGTTCTTGTTGATCATGATCGATTTTCCTTATTAACCAGAGATAAATAATATAAGGATAAAATTCAATTCATACCTTAAGAATGGCAACATCATAGCCTTTGAAAGCAGCAACATATTTTTTGTGATAAGTAATTTTTGCTATTTCATGTACATCTCCTCCTTGTGAGAGCAGCACCGAACCGGCAACCACGGTGAACAAATCGATATTGGCATCCCTTCAATATAAATGTATTAATTTTAAAATCATTTTAATTGATAATTAAATTTAAATATAATTATTTTATATTTTACCTTCCATAAACGCAATGTGCTGCTGTTAAAATGTACAAAGAATGTAAAATTGAGCCACCGCATGTGTGTCTGCCTTGGAATCTCAAAGAAATTTGGTGTGGATATTCACCTAATTCTGCATCTTCACCGCCGACGATTCGGTTGTCTAAAGCAGCTCCTAAAATGTAAGGAAAAGACACTTTTTAGGTCTTGTTAGTAAAGGATCTCATAAAATGCACCTATTGTAATTATCAGAAAAATGCTTTCAAGTAATGCGAACAAAGTGTTAATAAAAATCATACAAATTTAAAATAATACATTTATAAAATCTCACCTAAGCTAAGTGCCACTAAACAGCTGAGAACTAACAACTTTAACATTTTGAATTCTTAAAACACTAATAATTCTCAAGCTAAACTATCGAGCATCTCAAAAGATCTTATTTATATAAGAAAATTCTCAATTCTTATCAATAAGTGCGTGCTACTTATTAGGATTTTTTAATTTTGCAATAGATTCAATATAATATAACGTGCATTTTTACTAATTAAAACGTAGATGGCAAATTGAAATTGAAATTGAAACCAATCACAAAAGCACATTGCAATTCTGATAACAATTTTTGTAAATTCAATTGTTATAATGATAAATTTTTAGATAAATATTTGAAACTACTCCTCGTATTATTTTAATACGTTAATTTAGTATTTGTATTAATTTAATATTTAAGAAAGAATTTTGGTTTTCCAAACATTATTTACTTACTTTTTTCTGGTATTGACAAATATAGTCGAGTAATTGGAATACATTTGATACTGTAAAATTTACTATATACAAGTTTTATGCAATTTTTGATCACTGAAATAAATGAAACCCATTCAAACATTTTTCAATTTATATTGGTGGTTTATTTATACATCTATTCATCTCATATAATTAAATAGAAATTATATAAAAATAATTGTAGATCAATACCACGCTCGTATGTCGAATCTCTCGTTTCTTGAAGCATTTTTTTCCAACATTGAAATGCCATTAAATCATTTCAGCACTGTGATTTTTTTAAGTTCAATATTAAAAAAGCTATTTTTTAATACATATATTATATATACCAAATATAATTAATTAATTAAATACATATAATGATTAATTTAATACATATATTATATATACCAAATTTGTTATTTGTATCCGTCTGTCTGTTTGCTTGGCTAATTTTCAGAACTACTGGACCAATTTTGACGAAACTTAGGCTAATTTTATTTAGTATCGTGTTTATTTTATCTTATCTTTCTCGATATTTAGTCTTCGTGAAATTGAAAAAAAAAAAGTTAATTAGGTCGGTTTTTGCAATTTTATCTGATCTTATTTTAATTCAAAATATTTTAATAATTTTATATACATTTTTATATCTTATTAATATTATCTTATTTTATTTCAAACTATTTTTACTATTTTTTACCTTAAGCAATATTTATAAATAATTATAAATTAAATACCTTAGTGCTAAATATTTAGATTTACATTAAAATTGATCAATTATTTGTAGGTTATTTCATTTAGTTAATAACGTTGATAGTAGATTTTTTCCCTAAAATGAATATATAGATTGGATTTTTAAATTCTCAAATATATATTTATTAATATCTATTGAAAGAGAGTTAAATTGTTTTAGCACAAGAACACCAAATATTTTATATACAAAATTCTGTCAGTAAAGCTCATACAAAATACAGAAAATGAATAAGAAATAAAACAAAAATGTTAAAGTAAAAGTTAACTTTTTTGTTAAATTCTTGATCAATGAAATAGTATGTTCATCTGCAGATATATAAATTAACTTCCATATTATATAAATTAACTACTATATAATATACATATATAAATTACATTCTTGAATTGAGACTTGAATTTTTTACCATTTTTTTTTTATTCACAATTGTAGTTGTTTTTTCATTCGTTATAAATAATATTAACAATATTTTAATGATAATAATATAAACTTAACTATTTTCTTATAAATAATTTCTTATAAATAATAACTAAGTTATTTCATTTTCAATCTTCTTGATTACTTAAATCAAGTGGTAATTTTCTCTTCAGTCTGCGACGGTAGTTTTCTGTTAGTAAGAATTCTTATTAACTAATTACTAGCAAACTTAAGTTTGCTAGTGAATTTCAACAATTTGATATTTTTAACTTCTCGTAGGGTAAGTTATAGTAATCGCAAAAAAATCGAAAATGAAAATTTTTATATATCTATACGTTTCAACACTTTCTGAACATTTTGTCATACCTGAAAAAATGGATGCATGTGTGTGTGTGCGGATACAAATTTCCGTCGACGATTTTGGGAACACCGATCAACCGGTTTGAATAATTCAAAAAACATTGTACTTGTATTGACGAGATGAAGAACTGATTAAATTTTTGGGAAGGCAGTTCCAGCGGTTATGGAGTCTCAATAAAAATAAGTTAAAAAAATGTAATTTGGCGGTCAAAAATGTTTATTGGGTATATGTACGACAAATTATCAGATATTTTATAGAGATTTTGATAATGTGTACACATTTTGTGTAATTTTTTTTGGGTTCCGTACCAAGATTTTTATTTTTTATTTTTTTTATTATCTCTTTTATTTACAACTGTCCAGTAAAGGACATTCAATAAATTTGATGAATTTACAATAGTCGGCCGAAAAGGAACATTGTATACTACAAGGGCATATTGGAAAAAACAACTCAGTAGTTGTTTTTCCATTCGATATAAAATTCACAATATTTTATTGATAATTATATAATTTTAACTATTTACTTATTAAATTTTTTTATAAATAATGATTAAGTTATTTCCATTTTTTATCAGGAGGGTTGATGGCTTAAATCCTGTGGCGCTTTTCTTTTCAATCTTCTTGGATAGTTCTCTGTTATCAAGGTGTTTGCTAATGAATTTGGGTGACTGATTAGCTTGTTTCTATACTTGTGTGCTGTTTTAGTTATTACTTCATTTATGGTAGGTGTATACGTGTCGACATGAATTAACCAGTTGGGAACATATTTTGGGGCTCCTAAGGCAATTTTCAAAAATTTGCTTTAAGGCACGATGCCATGCATCCCACTAGTTATTTAATAGTTCAAATCATATTCTTCTTCACGATCAAAAATAGTATAATTTGTTTGTTTATTTATCCAATTCAAGTAATAATAAACTCGGGCATAAACATCAGGAACGCCCAACGCGCAATATCTCCATACCCAGGAAACAACACCAATTTGCACTGGCCCTCTTCTTGTATCTAATATTAAAGGACCACCCGAATCGCCCTGAAATAGAAAAATATAAACATCAAGTACTGTTTTTAATCGTTTTGATCTGCATTTCATTGCTATCTGAATTATATTTTCCTATCACGCACGTCTTACAATGTTATTAATGGCTAGAGGAAACATTATAAGAAATCAAATGCAAATTGTTAATTAAAACAATTACTCAGTTGGTATAATTCTGCATAAATAGTAGGTACGTACCTTGCAGGCGCCCACGCTGTGCATGTTGAATGCGCAAAGCATACCCGGATAAATGGTGCTCGGCTGCTGGAACGAGTTCCGGTTCCGATTGTGGAGTTTTTGACATACAGAGTTACTGTATGTGAAGACGTCCACTTTTTGCAAATTATCCGGCAAGGTATTATTCGGATACTGAAAAAAAATATATAATAGTTGTTTATGGCATCGTGCCTTAAGGCGAATTCCCGTACCGTATCGAAATGTTCGAGGAATATTAAATATTTTCAAATAGACTATTATAAATACTGAAACATTGTCTAATATTTTATAAGAATGACACACTAGACATGCACACACACATCCATTTTTTCTGAGATATGCCAAAATGCTCATAAACCTACAAAACGTGAAGATTGCAAAAATTTTCATTTTCGATTACTCCATTACTATAACTATCCTACGAGAAGTCATTTATATAAATACAGCGGTACCCTGACATAGTAGATCAATATCACGCTTGTATGTCGAATCGCTCGTATCTCGAAGCAATTTTTCCCAACATAGAAATGCCATCAAATTGATCCAGCACTGTGATTTATTTTAAGTTTCTTGAATATGAAAACGCTTTAATTTAAGAGTTATGCCCTAGTCTTTGGACCCAAGTTTATCGTTACTATTAGAGTGATCATACGTCCCGGTTTGGTCGGAACAGTACCAGATTTTCATCTTGTGTCCCGTGTTTTTCGAAGAGTAATATTTGTCCCGAATTTAGCTCTTCTGTCCCATATTATCCCGGGGTTTCGAACAGTAATGGATGAAAACTGAAGCTTTGCTATTACTTAGTAATAAAATTTTTAACTACTATCAAATATCTGAAAATGTTACGTACAAATAGTATGCTTATAGAAAACAATAGGTTATGAATGAGAAAAGACGGCTCATCTTCACATTCATAATTTTGAACTTTTATTTTCAATTTTAAATTAACAAAAATTGTGTAAATGAATTTTTTGACTGCCTGGAATAACTGCTAATTATTTTTAAATAAATATGAAGAAAATTAAACAATATTTTATAAAAAGTTTAAAAGCTAAAGTTCCTAATCAGTTATTCTGATTAAAAAAAATTATTTATTTAAAAAAGATAGAACTTTATTGGATCCTTAAATAGTATTTGTAGTTTTTAAATGTTAATAAATTTTTCACCATACCATGGGGGTATGGGAGGGAGCCATTCTGGATTAGCATAACTAAAAATTACCATCCCGATTTTTACTTAAAAAAATATGGTAACCTTATTACTACACAATTAATATTCTTCATAATTAATAGGGTAGGTCGGGGCACAAAGATCCAATTTGAGTTTGAGCAATTATATTATATTATATTGTGAAAACCAAACCAATTATATCACATCAAATCGCACATATCAAACAAACAACTATCTGACCATTATCTGACTATGTTCCAGCTAATTCATCATTGTAGAAAGTTGTTTTTTTTTCCAAAAATTGGTCTTTTTTACCCTTCTATAGCCGAGTTAAATTGAGACTACCGGGCAGCAAACATGTCCACTGCCTTATTTTAATTTTAAAGGAACTTTTATATTTTTAAAAATGTATATAACTTATATGAAGTTCCTCATTCCTTTAAAATTAAAATAAGACAGTGGACATGTTTGCTGCCCGGTAGTCTCAATTTACCCCGGCTATAGGGTAAAAAAGACCAATTTTTGGTAAAGTTTTTAAAAGACCAATTTTTATATAAACGTACTCTAAAATTTTATAAAAATTCGTTACGCGTGGTTACGCATTTTATAACACGTATAAATTTATATAATAGACATCTTAGTCTTTATATTAATATTATTATTTATAAAGCCATAATAATAATCACCATTATTTTTTTTCATTCTTACCGACATGAGCCCCCATCCAGAGAATTTTGCCATCAAACCTTTAGGCGTATCTCTCATGGTCAAAGCTATCGGTTGCTGGTATTTTCCAAAAACGATCGCTTTTTTCAACTAGAATTATTAAGAAAAAAAACTTTTCTTGGCAATATGAAATAATAAACTCACATGTTTGTTATGATTGCGAAAGACAACAAAATTAATTTCTGTTTGAACAAAAATAAAATTTTGAATGAATCTTCCTGTAGGTATATGAAGAGCTATTTTGAAAATAACTTTTTCAATATTAATTAAATGAAGTAAATTTATAGATATACCTTAATAACAGCAACATCGTGGTTTAGCGATCTGGGAGTGTATCTTTTAGGATAAACGATAGATTCTACTTCATGATGATTACCTCCTTTATATAGAAAACTTGATCCGGCCACAACAGTAAATTTTTTAGGCCTGTTTCTATAAGTGTTATTGCTAGTGTTAATTGTGTTTCTTTATAAAATAAGCTTATTATTAACTTTTATTTTTATCATACTCAAAAAATTTAATAATCACAATTTATGTAGTCCACACCATACCTTCCATAAACACAATGCGCTGCTGTTAAAATATAATAAGCGTCGATAATAGATCCTCCACAAGTATGCTTTTTATTATAACGTAAAGAAATTTGATGTGGAAATTCAGCAATTCTGGCTTTTTCGCCTCCAACTACCCTTCCATCTAATATATCTAATAACAGGCACTGAGCATTTGGCACTATTTATTTAAGAAAAAAAAAACAAATTTAAAAATAATCTATTTTTTTAATAATATAGTAACAATCAGATTATTTTGCCTATGCAAACTCACCATTAATTATAGCAATAGTTGTTATTATTAGTAAATACATCATTATAACTAATTCTAAAATGAATATATTATTTAAATAATTTTAAAATATGTATTAAATAGTAAAAATTCTTTTTTGTCTTTATTTCACAACTATATTCACTAATTTTTAAAATTCTCATAATAAAAAACATCACAATAAAAAAAATTGAATAATTTCTAGATCATTTTTAAGACGACAAAACTTTCTACTTAACACATTTGTGTATCATGAATAACTGAGCATAAACATTAGTCTTACCAGAAAAATGCTTAAATGTAACAAAACAATTGTAAAACATTAGTGTTGATAAAAAAACAACTGCAGTTTGTAGTTTTCTATGTTGAAATAATTCTTCCTATATAATGCTTGCATATAATATAAAAATGAAAGTGTTTCACAGTTGATCGCACATAACATAAATGTCTCAGTTTCAGCAGACACATTTTGTAATCTTTGCTGAAACTTATTACTTAATGAGACGTAAAAAGGGGTTATAAGTTCTATAAAAATATATTTATATTTATATAACTAATTTTGTAATTTTTTTATTTTATCATTAATTAGCTGTATTTCTGATTCAATGTCCTGCAACACAATAGAAGTTGCTTTAATTGCTTGAGATGACTTAAATATTCTACGCTTAGCTGCATACTGTAACAGGCTACAATACAAAATAATACTTAGACATTTTATTTCAAAATATTTAAGGATTGTATTATAATCTTACGTAATTCTGGCGTCTTCAATCATATAACCTTGCTCTAATAGATCTACAGCATGTGTTGAATCATATTGTATCAACTTATTTTTGAGATCCAAAAATCTCTTAATTAGTTCAATTCTCTCAAGTTTTTTTGATCGTAGTGTGGAATAATTATCAAATAGTTCTTCGTGTAAGCTCATTCTCTTGTTTTCTAAATTTGTATCTTGTGAATGTTTTGTTAAGTCACCTTGACATATTGTATTCAGTTTTTTTAAATTATTTGCAAACACAGTTTTCATTAACTGGTTCATATGGCTTATTAGAATTGTTTGGTTTTGTCTTGGAAGGATGTTAATTTGTTCATTCGGTAAACCTGCAAGATAACAATCACAGTAATTGTTACAGGTAAATTTATTATATCTGATAGATTTGATAGATTTTCAATTTATTTTTGATATATCAGCTTCGACTTCACAAAGTTTACATATAATGTATATAGCATTGGACTTGTAAATAAAATATTACAGTAGCAAAATTTGAATAACTTGTATGCATAATTTAAAATATATAGTTAATTGGAAACATATTTATCAACTGAACTAATTAAAAACGGTCAACGGGGGAATCTATATGAATTATTTATATTGTTTTTAAATTTCTTCTACATTAATAAATATACCTAATAAGTTCATATTATCAGCGCTATTTCTTGGATCTTTCTTCAATAATGCATATTCTTGAACCTCCTTATTTTCTATTAAAGTCTTAATTAAATCTTTAGTTTCAATGTCTAAGCCTTTGTCATTACAGAATACAGACTGTTTACAAAAATATAACAGGGTCTTGTTTATCATGTATTCTTTATACGCTTTATTGAAATCTTCTAAAATTTCTTTAGAAGGTTCTAATAAATCCATTATCGTCGAAAAGAATGGAATAAACAACAATTAAAGTTAAACTGAAGAAACTGTCAAATGCAAATAAACTTCAAACAGTCGTTTTTCATAATTTTGACGTTTATCAGAAAATAATTCTATTTTAGTTTCTTAGTATGGCAATACCTGCAATAACAAAGTTCATCTATGGCAATACTAATATTGATATCCCGCCATATTAAATGTCAGTTTCCAAATGAGAATTGCTAAAAATTACTGCCATTAATTAATTAATAAATTCATATAATTATAAGATCCTATTAAAACGTTATTAGTCTCGATTGACTTTAAATATGATTTGTGATATTTTTCTTTTCACCGTATTAGCTGTACTATATTTCAAAGGTACCTGATATCTGACTGTCATGACTTTATGTACAAGATTTGTTGCAAACTATTTTGTTCGTTTGTTTTATAGGAATTTTGTGTGCTGATAAGGAATGCCGTGATTTGCATGGACGAGCGATCGATCCTGGTCTACATTATGTACCTGGTCCCGATACTTGCACATTGTGCATTTGTGATAATGGACTTCCAAAGTGGTGCAAAGCAGTTTTATGTTCTCCGCCACAAGTAATCAAATATTAATAAAATCGTTCATAAACAATTTTTCCAAAGCGTTTATAATTCTATCTCTGTTGTGAATATTGGGGTCAAATTGCATGCAGGCTCAAGTATATGTTGACAGCATTGAAATATTCAAACTCAAAATTAGTTTTTTCATTCCTTTTATACAAACATGAAGCAGATCATATTTTTTGGTTTTGATAGTATTTCTTACTATGTTTCTTCTATTCTAGGACTGCAAGTCTTTTAGAGTAGGAAATTCATGCTGCGATTTCATTTGTTTGGACGACACCCTGCCTAAAGCTGGTGATCAAACTGAACACAATGAGGTTGGCCTATGACTAATAGCCAGTGGGGTTACAGCAGCCCTATCTTTAAGTCTTCTCTTTTTTCTTGTACATCGATTGCGACTGCGTAAAGTCCGTGCTCCTGAAAACAGACAGCTTAGCCAAGATCAACGCAATATGGGAAGCATTGGGTATGTAAAATGAGCTCTTTCTAGGCAGTGCTTTTATTATATTATCTTTATAATATTGGTTGTTTTCTAGGTATATTGCTGGTTCATTAGGATATATGGGTGGAAGCATGGGATATTTGGGAAATACTAGTAATGTATCTGATTATCCGTATGAACCATCATCAATAACATCACATCATTATGCATTGTGGAAACCTTCTGGAAATTATTTTCCTAGAGGAGAGGCGCCACCGCCTTATGAAGAGGCAGTTGCTGCTGCTCATGCTGAAGCTTTAGCTGCAACGTGAGTTAACTTCAATTCTTATTATTAAAAAGTATACTATTTTTAGTATTGTATTACCTCTTCAATATGGAATAACTATCATCCACATAAATTTCATCTTCAATAAATAAGAGGATATATGTTGTTGAAATTAGTAATAATAAACTTCAATTTATGTAGCCCTATTTATTAATGTGATATATTCTATCTTTTTCCACAGAACTGCATCAAACCTAAGGCAATCTGCGCCCACTACTGTTTCAACCACCACTGCTAGCCTACATTTAGAACCTAGTTCTGCAAATAGTGACACCACTTTCAATTCAAACATTCAAATTAGTACTACACAAAATAGTCAATCTAATGCATCAAATTTAAATATTAATAACATAAATCTCAATGTTCGTGAACGTTCTAATACAATTGTAATTATGCCATCCACTTATAATCAACAACAGTTTAATTCCATAACTCAGGCTCAATCTAACTTAAATGTAAATCGAGGCGGAAATCAAAGTTTACCAAGTCGATGTATAGAATCTCATAATTTAAATTTGGGTAGATCGAATATTCATCCTGTTGTAAACCCCAGAATTGTACCAAAATCCAATCAACCTTTGGGAAGTAATAGTAATAATCATTTAATTGGAAATACCAGCAATTCAGCTTCTAATTTCAGTAGTAGGTCTGCAAGAAGTTTAAGTATACCATTATCTTCTTCTAATAATATATCTTCATCATCGTCGAACTCTACTCAGTCTAGCAATCTGAGTACTCTTACTAATACTCCTACTAAAGCTAGTAACAATGCTTTAAGTTCACTAGTTTTATCTCATAAGAAAAACAAGTCAATTTTATCACATTTGGAACAATGTGAAGCATGTTCGCAGCAAGCCAGTGCTTTGGAAAATGAAAGTAATGTGGCACTTGATTTAAGTAAAACACAAAGCGCTGGTGATCTGTTGCATGTTTTGCCACCTCCACTATTTGACAATGAAATTGAAGTTAGGAGTACTTCAAGTTCTATATCTCGGTAAGTAATAATCAAATACTTCCTAAAATAATTAAGTCCTGGGATTTAAAGATGTTTGTATTACAGACATAGAAGTATACCAAGACATATTTCTGTAGTAACATCCGGATTACAAGATGAGGGAAGCAATTGTCCGTCTTCAAACACTGTAAGTCATAATATAAATATTAAATATAATCTTCACCTAATATTCATTTTGATCTTGCTACTAATTATTTAATGTCTTTATACTTTTAGCCTTCATTGCATTATCCGTCTACATCAAAATTAATTAACACCAATAATTCAAATTTAAAATCACCAAGTCATTTAAAAAATAAACTATTACCATTGTCATTACCTTCTACTTCAAAACTAAAAACAAAACCCTTACCATTGTCTATCTCCAATGAGAAAGATTCACAAGATTTGGAATTGGTTAACAATAAAAAAGAAACGCTTAATCAAAATATGTCTCTATCTGCAAACCAAATATTAACCCAATCATCTAAATACACTGCTTTTCCATTTGCGAAGACCAAAGAAAATCTGCCAACAGGTATGATATTAGATTTAATCTTTAAATGCAATATTTATTTTAAAAAAATCTGTTTTTTATATTATTTTTTTTTATAATTATTTCCGAAGCAGAAGATATATTCGCGAAAAATTGCGATTTTTTTACCTTGTTTTTTTTGACATTTCAAGTCATTCTGAATCGAATGAGACCAAATTTGGATAAGTGTGCGTGTGTGTGTATTCTTTTACTTATCTTCGTTGTTTTATTTATAAAATTATCAAAGTTTGGCATTTTCCGGCGCGCTTAAGCGATTCTAAGCAGAATCTGTATAGAGCCTATGTATGTCCTTTGTTTCATAGGTAGCTACTGATTACAGTTGTCTACTAAATAAAATATATTTTCGGAACATAAAATAGATTAAATGAAACAACTAAATGAAATATAGTTGAACAAATTAATGAACTGTAGCATTTATTTTTTAGTAAAAGCGAAAACTTTAGTTATGAAATGAACAGTTGAAAACTTTATGCAAATAGCGGAGTCTCAATTATTATTAAGTTGTTTATGAATACTTATCATAAAGTTAATGCAACTTGTCTTAAGGCAAAATGCTACTTACCACTAGTCAAGTATGTGTAAAACTCACATAATTATATTATTATCATATTCCCAGGGGTGAAGACTAAAGAAGCTATCTCTACCCCAAAAGCCAAAAAAATAGATTTGGATGAGAACAGCAAAATAACTGAAAGTACCAGTTTACTAACACACAGTTCTAATGGTGGGAACATGACACACTCCAAAAGCACTAAATCTCTTTACCAAAATTCATCTGGTTTAAATAGTTCGTTGCCCTTGTCAATAGCTGCACCACTGATAAATTCTAATAACTCAAACTCGATGGATGATGGTGATGATTACAGAAGTGAATGCGAGAACTGTAAATCAGCACACGGGTCAAGATATTATTTGCAAGAGGATGATGAATTAGGATCGCCACATGAAACTATGACTTTACAGAGGTATACATAGTGATATACATATAATGTTTTTTGCTTATTATTTGCTACTGTTATATTACATTTTATATTACTTACTAATCAATTGAATCAAATTAAAAATTGAATGCAATTTTAATTTTGTAGAAAATTAGAATGCAATGAAGATGAGAATTACTACAGAACATCTTTAACACTACCGACTAATAGTAAGAAATCAAGGTGAGCACATTCAACAAAATGTCTTTTAATTTTTAATCTTTTTATACAAAAATGATATTGATTTATTGTGTTATAGAAATTCTTCACTTCACATACCAAATTCTGCAAGGGAGAGCTGGTTTAATAGCATGCCGTCAACTTCAAGTTCGGATGATGACTAATAAGATAAAAAATTGTGAGTGCTTAAAATTTTATATTATATCAAATTATGTTTATTGTATTGTAATGAACCCTTTTTATATTAAGGGGGTATTCTGGTCTAAAAGTTTTAGGAAATCGTTTTTTTTTATTAACTTCCTAGGATAGTTATACATAGTAATGGGCTGAAATCGAAAATGAAATTTTTGCAAATCTTCACATTTTGAAGGTTTTTGAACATTTTGGCATACCTAAGAAAAAAATGGATATGTTTGTGTGTGTGCGTTTTTTTTGTGTGCCGCATTTTTTTGTTCACGTTTTTGGCGCACGATTTGAATGCTTCAAAAAACATTCGATTCCTATTGATAGGGAGATGTGCTGATTAGTTTTTGACAAAAGCAGGCCCAGCCGTTACGGAGATAAAGAGCAAAGACTATAAAAAATAGAAATTGAGTTGAATCATCTAAAAAACATTCCATTTGTAATGATTGGGAGAAGTGGTGATTAGGTTTTGGCAAAGGCAGGTCCAGCCATTTAGAAGATACAATGCTAAATGCATTTTTCATTTAAATTTCAATTCTGGTTAAAGTTCTAAAGCTCACTTATAGACTTTAAGTGAATAGTTTTAACTTTGTAAATCAGTTATATAATTCTTATAAATATTAAACAATGCTACATATTTATAATAATCTATTTGAAAACATTTCATGTTCCTCAAACATTTATTACGATACAGGCAGTTCCAGCAATTTGCCTTAAAGCATAATGCCATACACCACTAGTTTTAATATATTAGATGGCTTAACTATTCCTATATATTTGAAAGAGATTTTTCAAGTTTGAATATTTTTGGAAATATAGATTCTTTAGAAAAGTTTGACCACAATAATCCTACTCTGTGTGAAGTTTTAGAAGTTATTGCATAATTTGATAGAATTAATAATCAGTGTTGAGTCAATGTTTAGATTTAGGAACTCAAAATAATGAGTTTCTGAACTTTTGATCTCCACTTTCTATACTTCAAATATTTTTGATTTGCAAATGTCTTTTGATTTTGGTACCCACTAGTCTTCCTTATAGTCTTCTTCATAGACTTTCCAATTACTATTTTTTAAAAAATCGAGAATAGCAAAGTTATAAAAAGAATATGTTTCAGAAAGTCGCTATTCTTTTTTTTTTTTTTTTTTTTAATTTGTAGTTCATTCTTTGTTGTAATTATTGCAAGGGCTAAAATCAGGGTTATAGTCTCGTGCTAATTTTTTTTAGATGCCACAACTTCATTACCTGCTAGAATTAAAACATTTGACTCTTTTTATTTTTCTGTAAAATTGTAGACAAGAATACTCCCTTAAACAATGATATCTTCGTATATTATTTTTATTATATATCTACAGAGCTGTATTACAGAGCTGTACAAAGTT